AGACCGTCTGGAAACAGCGAGGAACCAGCCCCTGCCGCATAGGTCCCGCCCCCTGGGTGCATGCTGGGGAGGTGTCACCCTTTGTGAGGAATGAAGAAATGGACCATGCCTTGGCGCTTGCCCCGGTCCCACCCCCTTCTGCCAGAGACCCTCAGATCTGTCCCACTCCTGCCCAGGCCCCCACAGGCGCCCTTGACGCGAACGATGTAGAGCTGGCCATGCCCACCCAGTAGGCCACACCCACCCGGCCCCCTGAGGGCAACCGCAATGCTGATGTGGCCCTCAATGAAATTGAGTTTGACTCCCCTGTTCTAGGTTAAAGTCAGCTCTGCAGCCAGGAGCTGCTCTCTTCTCTGCTGGGGGTGATCCCTCCCAGTGCAGCCATGTCAAATTCGGTCCCCGCCTGCTCTGTGGTGGGAACCGGCCCTGCGGCTGCCATATTAATGCTGTAGTTCATGGGCCCCGGGTTAATGTTGTTGGACCCGGGGATAAAAATAGGCTACAGACATTATTATAAAGCGCCAGGCCTTCTTACGGAGTCAGTGATATATGAATAGAATATAAAATGGAATAATAGAATAGGCAGACTATAGAATAGAATAGAATAGAAAATATGGAGTGGAATAGAATGGAATGGGAATAGAATAGAATAGAATAATAGAATAAAGCAGACAGATTGCAGAGTAGAATAAAATAATGGGATAGAATAGTACTGTATATAGAACAGAATATAGAAGAATAGAATAGAATAGAATAAAATAGACAGATTGTAGAATAGGATAATGGAATAAAATAGTATATTGAATTGAATATAGAAGAATAGAACAGACAGATTGTAGAATAGAACAGAATAATAGAATAGATTGTAAATAGAATATAGAATAGAACAATAGAATAGAATAATAGAATAGACAGATTGTAGAATAGAATAGGATAATAGAATAGGATAATAGGATAATAAAATAGACAGATTTTGGAGTAGAATAGAATAGTAGAATAGACAGATTATAGAATAGAATAACAGAAGAGAAGAGTTGGCAGGAACCTTATAGAAACCTGGCTGGCTGTGTGATGATGATGAATGATGATGATGATGATAGAATTGGAAGGGACCTTGGAGGTCATCTAGTCCAACCCCCTGCTCAGGCAGGAGACCCTATACCATTTCAGACAAATGCTTGTCCAGTCTTGTCTTAAAAACTTCCAGTGTTGGAGCATTCACTGCTTCTGGAGGCAGGTTGTTCCACTGATTATCCAGTCCAACCCCCCCCCCCAGCAGGAGACCCCCTACACCATTTCTGACAGATGTACAGTGTCTGGACGGATGCAGTCGGCAGTGCCTCCCACTTCCACCCACCCCCCAAGCCAGGCCAGAAGGATACCCCTCCTCAAAAGCCACTGAGAAGTTCAGGAGAGCCAGAACACTCCTGGTAGATTCTGTCACTTCATCTTTTTTTTTAAAAAAAAAATGCATTAGACTAGCCCAAGATTAATAGCACAGGTCGTCCTCCACTTACGACCACAATTGAGCCCAAAGATGTTGCTAAGCAAAACATTGGTTACGTGATTTTTTGCCCCGTGTTAAGACCTTTCTCACCACATTTGCCAAGTGAACCACTGCAGTTGTTAAATGAGTAACACGGTTATAGAGTGGAATCTGGCTTTCCCCATTGGCTTTGCTTGTCAGAAGGTCATAAAAGGGGATCACATGATCCTGGGTACACTGCCGTTGTCATAAATGTGAGTCAGTTGCCAATTGTCTGGATTTTGATCATGTGACCGTGGAGGATGCTGCATCGGTCGTAAGTGTGGAAAACGGTCATAAGTCCCTTTTTCCAGTGATGTAACTGAACGGTCACTGAATGAAACTGTTATAAATCGAGGACTGCCTGTAATTCATCTCGTTTTTTTAAAAAAGGTATTTAAACATTTTAAGATGGATTCATTTAATTTGGAATCCCGGGAATGATAGAAGGATGGGAAGTTGATTTCTCTCTCTCTCTCTCTCTCTCTCTCTCTCTCACTGATTTTATTCATTTGTAAATGATACACGTAGTTGTAGAAAGAAGCATTGTACATTTTTTTAAACAAAAAAATAACAATTGTTAATTGATTCCCTGGCAGATCTTCTCTCATCCAGAATGTTGTCGGGAACCGTTCTTAAGTCGCACTTTCAGCCTTGGGAAGACGGGGCAAAATGTCTTGCAACGCAGCATCCACACACCTTTATTTTGAAAAGACCCATGAAGAAAAAAAAGAGTCCTATTTTGTTCAAGAAGAGGCCCAGATAAAGACCTAACATGGATTGTTGCTGTGAGCCTGTTGGGAAAAGACAGTGGATCATTTTGATTTATATTGGCAATGAAGCTGGAAGACTCTCTTCTAATTGCTTCCTCTCCTGATGAAATTATATATATGATTCCTAACTGACGAGGAAACTAGGCTTCTACAATGGGACACAGGCCTTAACTTGATGGATGCACAACCCATTGACTTCATCACAGCCGTAGAACCCGCGATACAACGCATAACCACCAGCGACGAGGTAAGACACTCCATAAGACAGCGAGTCACAGGACTGCTCATGGGCCATAAACGACGTCACATTTTACCAACATGGGAGATGAAGGCCCTGGAGGAGCTACGGAAGGGCAACTCTATTGTAATCCTACCGGCTGATAAGGGCGGAGCCACGGTCGTTATGGACAGGGCCACATATAATAGCAAGGCCCGTTCCCTACTCAACTATACTAGCACATATAGAGTGGTCAAAACAGACCCCACAACGTCCATAAAGAACCAACTTAATAAGATCGTAGATAAGCTTAAAGGATGGGGGAGAGTCAGTGAAGAAGACTTGAGAGTTATAGGACCAAGGGACTCGGCAATGGTGAGGTTCTACGGCCTGCCGAAGATACATAAGGAGGGGGTCCCATTAAGACCCATCGTGGCATTCAGAGGCACGCCAATGTTTGGCCTGGCCAGATGGTTAAGCCAACTGTTACAGTATTTGGTGGAGGGAAGCAGGACTACAGTGAAATCGTCGCAGGAGTTCCTGCAAAGACTCAAGGCAGTAAGAATACGGGATGATGAGACCATGATTTCATTTAATGTGACATCACTATTTACATCCATCCCACAAGGGCTAGCTGTCTCAACAATAAAAGACTGACTACAGCTAGAGGGATCACAAAACCATGGCCCCCTTAAGACACGACGTCATCCAACTGCTGCGGCTATACCTGAGAACGCACTTCACATTCCAGGGCACGATGTATGAACAAATTATGGGCACGCTGATGGGGTCTCCCATCTCTGGTGTCATCGCTGAGATGGTCCTACAGTGCCTGGAATCCAAAGTGATGTCCAATTACCACCCTGAATTTTGGGCTAGATATGTGGATGACACATTCGCTATCGTCAAACGGACGGACAAGGCTGCCTTTATGGAGAGATTAAATGCAGTGTTCCCTGACATCCAGTTTACAGCAGAGGAGGCGGCCAATGGTAGTCTGGCCTTCCTAGACGTACTAGTCAGTCGCCAAACCAACGGTGCCCTCCACACAACTGTATACCGAAAGGCGACCCATACCGATTGAATACTACATTACACAAATAACCACCCAACGACCCACAAGGTCACATGTATCCGAACGCTGTTTGTACGCTTAAATACGCATTGCAATACCAAAAAGGCCAAGCAAGCGGAACGTGCCCACCTACACCAGATATGTAGGTGGAATGGTTACCCAGCCAGTTTCATCCGGCGATACAGTAGGCGCCAAGAGCCCCGCAGAGAACGGAATGATCTAGGGGCAACAACCTGGATAACGATACCCTATGTCCAGGGGGTGTCAGGTGACAGCACGCATATTGGCACCACACAATGTCAGAGTGGCCCATCGACCTGATCAAACACTTCGCATGAAGACGATGCGCCCCAAGGAGCCATTGCCTGAAGAAGAAAAATCATCGGTGGTCGCGAGGAAATGGGAGAAATTGGCACGACGCATATCCATCAGCTACCGCAAATTAGCGTTCCTCCATGGCTGTATCCGAGGGGACCTCCCTCCCAAGTCGCTGAGGAGACCCATGATTGACTCCATGGAATGCCAGCTAGCCATCCGCCAATTCCAGCATTGCACTATGCGTGCTCTGATTAATGACCAGCATAGGTGGATAGACGCTTTGGAGACATGGATCCAGGACTATCGAGAACATTGTAATATGATGCTAACACACCAGCATATCAGCATTTCTGGGCGCTGGACCTCCAGATCCACCAGGCCACTATGAGGGTGAGCCGACAATCGGCCATGACACTTAAACGCAAAATGGACACCTTACGGACGCTGGACGACCGCAACCACACCAATAGACTTTTTCATAATTTATCCTCCAAAGCGCTTACCCGGGAACAGATCACTTTGCTCGAACGAGATACGGGATATAACCTGGCGGATGCACGGGCATTGGACTTTGTGGCAGCATTGGAACCCACCATACAACGAATTGAGGTGGGCGATGAGGTTAGAAATTCCATCAGACAACGGGTCACGGGGCTATTGATGGGCCATAAGCGCTGTCAAATATTGTCCAGAGAGGAAAGGGAGGCCTCAGAACAACTGAGGAAGGACAATACCATCGTCATCCTACCGGCGGATAAGGGGAGGGCGACGGTGGTTATGGATAGAGCACAATGTATGGATAAAGCCCTGACGTTGCTCGGTGATACGACAGCGTACAAAGTCATCAATAGAGACCCCATGACCACACTTAAAACTGTATCAATAAACTCCTTAACAACTTCAAATGCTATGGGAAGGTGGACGAAGACACCCTAAGGAGAATACGCCCGGGGGATTCGGCTATGGCCAGATTCTATGGCCTACCAAAAATCCACAAAGAAGGAGTCCCCCTCCGCCCCATCGTTTCATTCCAAGGCACACCAACCTCGGAGTTAGCCAAATGGCTGAGTGGCCGGATCAGTAGATAACAACGAGACTACGGTAAGATCGGCAGAGGAGTTTCTTGAGAAAATCAGACCTCTAAGGGTGGAGGAAGATGAAGTGATGGTGTCATTTGACGTCACCTCACTCTTCACCTCCATCCCACAAAATCTAGCGATCACAGTATTGAAGGATCGCCTTAATGAAGAGGGACAAAGACAGCACCAAGACTCCCTCCATACCGAGGATTTGGTAAAATTGATAACATTATGCCTAAAAACATACTTTACTTTTCAAGGAACCATATACGAACAGATCAAAGGGACGCCAATGGGGTCACCTATTTCGAGCATAGTAGCGAAGGTGGTCCTGGTGTTTGAATTTATTTATTTTATTATTATCCTGGTGTTCGAATTTTTTTCTTGAGTATGATCAATAAACCTTAATTCTGAGGCTGGCACTTTCCTCTTTGTTTCCTCTTAAATCTCAAAATCTAATTTATGAAACCATGAAGCATGGATGCTCGTGTCCACCAGTGTATTTGAGTTTGAGGAATCGCTGCAGGATCCGAGATATACTTTTTTTTTAAAGCTCAACAAAATTTAATAGATAAAATAACAACAAAATTCCCACCCTATCTGATCTGAATAAACTGATAGCAGAAGTTATTTTAAATCACTGACGTCAATCAACAGCCCCAGAAAGAATTTTTGAGGAATTGAAACTGCCTGTTTTCAAAAATTATCTATTACTCAGGCAACGGGGGGAAAAAATGACTATTTAGAGAACAAACAATGTAGTTAAAAGTTGTCTTCTATTTTCCTCAGTGAAATAAATGGCGCTTTAAAAGGCTTAATGCTATCATACCCACAAGGTACTTGCTGATGGCACCTCTGCCATTTTATTTTATTTATTGATCGCATTTTTAAACCGCAAAGTTGGGCCTGGTCTCTGGAAACACCCCCCCCCCCGAAGAAAATGCAATTTAATGTTGGGAGCCAAGAATTTCAGTATGGGAGAATGGTTTTTAGGCTGTCCGTCAAAGATCAAACTGACTCATGCAGGATCCCTCATGGTTTTCAAGACCAGAAATAGCCCTGCCTCTCATACGATTCTGATAGGAATCCAAAATGGCTTTTGATCCGTGCTCCTCAACCTTGGCAGCTATAAAATAGGTGGACTTCATTTCCCAGAATTCCCCAGCCAGCTAAGGTAGGCTGGCTAGGGAATTCTGGGAGTTGAAGTCCACAAGTCTTAAAAGTTGCCAAAGTTGGACCCCCCCTGCTCCATCCAGTGGACTTTCTTTTTTCTTTGAAAACGTCTTCGCTTCCCATCCTAGAAGCTTCTTCAGCTCTGACTAGATGGTGGGGAATGGAAAGATTTATACTCCTTTCAGACAGATGGTCATTTGCATCCTTTTAGAGAGTTGTTGAGGCCACCTGGAGGTTTATCTGTCCTTGGGGTCACCTGAGTGGTGCAAATTGGTGTGGAGCCTTCTTGGAACTGCTGAAAGGACTGTTGTAGAAGCATGACACATAAACCTCCAGGTGGCCTTAATGACTTTAAAAGAATGCAAATGACCAGCCCTGGGTCCCTTCACTGAGTCTGTGTTGTCTGCATCTCAAACGAGCGCAAAGGGTTCCTATAGTCTGCAATGTTTTCTGGAAGTCCGTTTCAGAACGGTGCGGGAGCATGAACGGATTTCCAGATTTCCAACCTTTTGCGCTCCAGTTGAAGATGCAGACAACACAGACTCATCCCCATCATCCTGCGCCCGTCTTCAACCGTGAAGGGACCCAGGGCAGAAATCATCCTGCAGTTCCACAGCCATTTGCACCACTCAGGTGACCCTGAGAACACTGGTAAACCTCCAAGTGGCCTCAATGACTCTCTAAAAGAAGGCAAATGACCAGCTGTCTGCAAGGAGTATAAATCCTTCCCTTCCCCACCATTCAGTCAGAACCTGAAGAAGCTTCTTGGATGAGAAGTGAAATGTCTTCAAAGGAAAAACAAAGTCCAGTTGCCTCCTGAAAAAGCACCCTTGGGACAGAAAATGGAAGAAAAACTCAGGAAGACCCCCTCACTTACTTTCTGTCCTAATAAACAGTCTTGCCGTCGCCTTGATTGCTGCTTTCGAGTTATGTTTGACCAGACAAGTGAAGAGCGATGAATTCCATTTTTCGGTGGCCGTGAACTTCATGGAACTGTTGCGGGAGTAGGTCCCATCAGAATTCAAAGTTGTTGCAGTAATCTTTCCTTTACCGCTGGTACTCTTGCAAAACAAGTCCACTTTGGCACCATCTGGATAGAAACTTTCTGCGTGGCAAGTGACCATCACAGTGGCGTTCAGCTGGACGGGGGAAGGAGGTCTGGTCTCCAGACGGACTTTGGGAGGAACTGAGCAAAGAAAACCAAAGAGATCAGTCAGGAGAGCTTCAGACGCACGGGTCCTACATGCAGAAGAGCCTAGAACAGGGGTTCCCAACCCCCAATCTGGACCAGTACCCGGCCGCGGGATGCCAGCAACTGGTCCGCACGAACAAGCAAAGCCCCATCCGCAAGATGCAGGCAGCACACAAAACTCCTCCTCTCCTAAGCTTCAAAGCATGGTCGGCTTACCAAGGGCGCCACAATCCTTACGAAAGTGGGGGGGGGAGAGAAGCAAAGGGGCGAGAAAGCTCGCAGCAGGCTCGAAGGAGCACCTGTCAGTGTTGGTGATGAGAAATTCCCCACAAACCCAGGGAAGGGGTGCAGAAAAGGAGCCCCCTTTGGGAGGAAACCGTCACCTTTTCCTTGGCTTTGCGCTCTTCTGTTCCTCGGCAGCCGGGCTGCCAAGCCTCTGCTGGCTGGAACTTCCTTTCCTTACCTCCCTCTTGGTCTCTTCCTCCTTCCCTCCCTCCCATTGTCCCTTCCTTCCTTTCCTTTGCCTCCCTCTTTGTCCCTCCTTCCCTCTTTCCCCTTATCTCTTTCATCCTTCCTTCCTTCCCTCTTGTCCAGGATCGGGGCGAGCCTCTACAGCTGATCCGCGCTTCTGCAGAGCACCCCAGAAGCGCAGATCAGCTGTAGCTGCTTGTTCGAGCTTTGCTAGAAAACATGCCGCTTGCTAATTTAGCAGAAGCACGAATCAGCTGTAGCCCAGCGCTGATCCTGGAGCTTCTGCTAACTTAGCAAGCGGCATGTCTTCTGGCGAAGCTGAGCAAGTGAGCTGGGCGGAGCTCTCCTCTGTCTCTGCCTGTGCACCGGCAGGTTTGCCAGCAGCAAAGCCCCCAGCTGTTGTGGCTCCGTCCGGTGGGTCCCTCTCATCAGAGGATGAAGGCTCTGAACATGAAGGAGAGGAGATGGCCAGGCCTCCCTCTCCAGGCCCTTCCCCTCTGGTGCGGCCTTCCGACAGCGAGGAGTTTGGCCAGGAGCCCGGTGTTTCTGGGATTGGCCAGGAGCCCGGTGTTTCTGGGATTGGCCAGGAGCCCGGTGCTTCTGGGATTGGCCAGGAGCCNGTGTGGGTCGGACGGGGGACAGAACACCAGCCACGCTGGCAGCCTATCCCCCTCCCCTTGTCCCTTCCTGGGCACGGAGGGGGGGAGGAAGGAAGGGATGAAGAGGGAGGGAAGGAAGGGACGAAGAGGGAGGGAAGGAAGGAAGGAACAATGCTAGAAAACATGCCGCTTGCTAATTTAGCAGAAGCGCGAATCAGAGGGAAGGAAGGCAGGCACCCACTCCAGTCCCATCCCAGAGACCCACAGGCACTCTGCAACCTAAGTGATCAGCTGGCCACGCCCCCTGGCCATTGATCACGTTACCCTGGGACACTGTGAACGTCATAAGTATGAATCAGTTGTCAAGCATCCGAATGTAAATCACATGACCCTAGGAATGCTGCAACAATCATAAGTGTGAAAAATGATCATAATGCGCTTTTTCAGTGCTGTAACTTCAAACAGTCACTAAGAGAATTGTTGTAAGTCGAGGACTACCTATACTTTCCCATTTTTTCCTCTTTTTTTTGGTCAAGTTTTTGATACCCCCTGGCCAGCTGGATGGGGGGTTGGGGGTCACCACAACATGAGGAACTGTATTAAAGGGTCGCGGCATTAGGAAGGTTGAGAACAACTGTTTTAGAGAGTCGTTGAAGCCACCTAGAGGTTTACCTGTACCCTCGAGGTCACCTGAGTGGTGCAAATGGGTATGGAGCCTTCTTGGAACTGCTGAAAGGACTGTTGTAGAAGGACGACACAGATAAACCTCCAGGTGGCCTCAATGACTCTAAAAGAATGCAAATGACCAGCCCTGGGTCCCTTCACTGAGTCTGTATTGTCTGCATCTCAAACTGGAGTGCAAATGCTTCCTGTAGTCTGCAATGTTTTCTGGAAATCCGTTTCAGAACGGTGCGGGAGCATGAAGGGATTTCCAGAAAACGTTGCAGACTACAGGAACCTTTTGCACTCCAGTTGGAGATGCAGACAACACGGACTCATCCTCATCATCCTGCACCCATCTTCAACCACGAAGGGATCCAGGGCAGAAAACATCCTGTAGCCAAGAAGGCTCCACACCCATTTGCACAACTCAGGTGACCCTGAGGACACAGGTAAACCTCCAGGTGGCCTCAACGACTCTCTAAAAGAAGGCAAATGACCAGCTGTCTGCAAGGAGTATAAATTCTTCCCCACCAGTCAGAACCTGAAGAAGCTTCTTGGACGAGAAGCGAAATGTCTTCAAAGGAAAAACAAGAAAGTCCAATTGCTTCCTGAAAAAAGCACCTTTGGGACAGAAAATGGAAGAAAAACTCAGGAAGACCCCCTCACTTACTTTCTGTCCTAATAAACAGTCTTGCCGTTGCCTTGATTGCTTCTTGTGAGTTATGTTCGACGAGACAAGTGAAGAGCGTTGAATTCCACTTTTCGGTGGCCGTGAACTTCATGGAACTGTTGCGGGAGTAGGTCCCATCGGAATTCAAAGTTGTCGCAGTAATCTTTCCTTTACTGCTGGTACTCTTGCAAAACAAGTCCACTTTGGCATCATCTGGATAGAAACTTTCTGCATGGCAAGTGACCGTCACAGTGGCGTTCAGCTGGACAGGGGAAGGAGGTCTGGTCTCCAGACGGACTTTGGGAGGAACTGAGCAAAGAAAACCAAAGAGATCAGTCAGGAGAGCTTCAGACACACGGGTCCTACATGCAGAAGAGCCTAGAACAGGGGTCCCCAACCCCCAATCTGTGGACCAGTACCGGGCCGCGGCATGCCAGCAACTGGTCCGCACGAACAAGTAAAGCCCCATCCGCAAGATGTAGGCAGCACACAAAACCACGCACCCTCCCGACCGTGGAAAAACCTCTCTCCACGTAACCGGTCCCTTTTGGTGCCCAAAAGATTGGGGACCTCTGCCCTAAAAGAACAACTGATTCTGCTCTCCCGATTGTGGTGTTGGGAAAACAAGAAGGTTCTCTGAACGCAACCTTGGTGTGAAAAATCCAGAACTTTGTTTTGCAGGAAGCCCAAGATCAGAACTTGACACTGTGAGCAAAGAATGAAATAAGGGGTCCCAACCAATTCTCGGAAAGTCTCTGTTCTCATTAGTTTATTTGGGGTGTGTTTGGACCCTGCAACCTTCATCAATATAAGTCAGTTGCCAAAGTCTGAATTTTGATTATGTGACCACGGGGATGCTGCAACGGTTGTAAGTGTGAAAATCAGTCGTAAGTCACTTTTTTAGTGCCGTTGTAACTTGAAACAGTCACTAAATGAACTGTTATAAGTTGAGGACTACCTGTACGTAGATTATAAACCTAATGATGAAAGCAGAGGATAGTCTGAAAATCTACCACTTGTAACTTCGAATGGTCACTAAATCGGTGGTTGTAAGTCGGGGACTACTTATATGGCAACACATTTGCAAATGCTGATCACATCATCCTAGGATGCTGCAACCACTGTAAATATGTGCCAGTTGACAAACAATGAGATAAATGTCCAGGGTGAACAATCAGAGCCACACATGAATAATCAAAGTTACCAGTTTTATTATCCACCATCTATATCAAAGTTCTTGAAACTCAAGTACTTTGGCCACCTAATGAGAAGGAAGGACTCACTGGAGAAGTGCCTGATGCTGGGAAAGATGGAGGGCAAGAGAAGAAGGGGACGACAGAGAAGGAGGTGGCTGAATGGAGTCACTGAAGCAGTAGGCGTGAGCTTCAATGGACTCCAGAAGATGGTAGAGGGCAGGAAGGCCTGGAGGAGCATTGTCCATGGGGTCGTGATGGGTCGGACACGACTTCGCAACTAACAACAACATATCAAAGTTCCCCAACCTTTTGGGGTTGGTGGACTGAAGCGGGGGAAGGGAGGGAAAAGAAAAGATTCTTTTGTTGGGGTGAACGCATACACGAGCACATGTGTGCCCACAAACACCCGTTGCTCCCACAAGGGGGGCCACGAGCATCCCTGACGCTCATGGAGACACTCACATGAATGGGGCCAGAAACACCTATGACACTCGCATGAGTGGGGCACAAACGCCTGCAATGGTCACACAAGTAGGGCCACAAATGCACGCAACTCATGAACGGTGTCACAAATGCCGGCTATGCTGTGGGAATGAGACCGCGAACATCCGCAACGCTCGCACAAATAGGGCTTTGTGCACACGTGTGCTCCGGCCAGCCACTTTACGTGGCCCATGAGCCACTGGTTGCTACTGCAAGTGGGCCGTGTCCCACAGTTTGGGGACCCCTGACTATATTACAAGAATCTCCCCAGAATGCTTGTCTTCCCCTGGGAATGATCAGATAAGGCTTCATAGATCCTGGGCTTAATTCAAATGTATGCTGCTTGCAACTGTGTAAGGATGCCAAGCTAGTTCCCAGCTTAACCCCTCCTCCCATCCTGGCAGTTTCCCAACAGATTCACTCCAAAATGTCTCAGTTGACTAGAGTGGATCTCCCTCCTTTTCCGAGTGGCACCTACCCGTCACAAAGACCGCCACATGTTTCTTTACAGTAGATTCCTTTCGAGACCTTTCTTGGCCACCGAGCAGTAGTAGACCCCATTATCATCTAAGCCAACGTTGCTCAAGCTGATGCTGAAGTCAGTTCTCGATCCTGGAACGAGCCTCACCGCACGAGAAAATTTGTCATGCTCCCTGTAAATTAATTTCTGGCCATTGCCCAAGCCTTTGTACCATTTTGCGCTTGCTGGCAGGTCCACTTGAGTCAGAGTACAGTTGAGAATGAGGGTCTGGCCTGCTGTGATGTCCGTGAAGGCGGACTCAGGTATTTGAGGTTCCGTGCTCAGACCAGGCCCTCCAACAGCTGAAATGGAAAATAACTTCTGTTTCTTCTGGAGATCAAAAATGGCCGTAGTTTGAGCCAGTCAAGGCGTGATGGGATTGTTTGAACCCCACTTCTTGGCCTGCTTCCATGTTACTTTAAACCTAGGCTAGGGGTAGGCAACCTTGGCTCTTTTATGACTTGTGGACTTCAACTCCCAGAATAGCAGTGTTCCAATATCTCAGGGGTTGCCATAAAGAAGAGGGAGTCAAGCTATTCTCCAAAGCGCCTGAAGGCAGGACAAGAAGCAACGGGTGGAAACTAATCAAGGAGAGAAGCAATCTAGAACTAAGGAGAAACTTCCTGACAGTGAGAACAATTAACCAGTGGAACAACCTGCCTCCAGAAGCGGTGAATGCTCCAACACTGGAAGTTTTTAAGAAGAGACTGGACAGCCATTTGTCCGAAATGGTATAGGGTTTCCTGCCTGAGCAGGGGGTTGGACTAGATGACCTTCAAGGTCCCTTCCAACTTTACTATTATTATTATTATTATTATTGTTATTGTTATTGTTATTGTTATTGTTATTGTTATTGTTATTATTATTATTATTATTATTAATTCCTGAGCCAGCCACGCTGAAGGGAAAGGGAGAGGTTTCCATGCTGAGCCACGCTGGCTCAGGAATTCTGGGAGTTGAAGTCCATGAGTCATAAAAGAGCCAAGGTTGCCTACCCCTGACCTAGGCCTTCTCTTCTGCACACCCAGCCCATGTCTGACACCCGTGGTGGTGCATAAGAGCCAGGGTGATGCAGTGGCTAGAAGGCAGTACTGCAGGCTAACGCAGTGCCCACTGCCAGGAGTTTGATTCTGACCGGCTCAAGGTTGACTCAGCCACCCATCCTTCCGAGGTCGGTAAAATGAGGACCCAGATTGTCAGAGGGGCAATATGCCGACTCTGTAAACCGCTTAGAGAGGGCTGTAAAGCCCGGTGAAGTGGTATATAAGTCTAAAGGCTATTGCAATATTTTTTCTTCCTTCCTCCCTTCCTTCCTTCCTTCCTTCCTCCCTCCCTCCCTTTTCTTTTTCCTCTCTTTTTCCTTCCTCTGAGCCCTGGTGGCGCAGTGGTTAGAAGGCAGAACTGCAGGCTAATTCTTTGGACTGCCATCAGTTCGATCCTGACCGGCTCAAGGTTGACTCAGCCTTCCAGCCTCCTGAGGTCGGTAAAATGAGGACCCAGATTGTTGGAGACAACAGGCTGACTCTGTAAACCGCTTAGAGAGGGCTGTAAAGCCCTGTGAAGTGGTATATAAGTGTTAGTGCTATCCTGACATAGCGATTATTCCTGGAATGGAATTGTTTACGCTGTGTTAATATTCTGCATCTAACAACATGTGAAGTGATAGCGCGGCTTTACACCGCACTGGTGAGACCACACTTAGAATACAGCATCCAGTTTTGGTCGCCACGATGTAAAAAAGATATTGAGACTCTAGAAAGAGCACAGAGAAGAGCAACAAAGGTGATTAGAGGACTGGAGGCTAAAACATGATGAACAAAACAGGAACTGGGTCTGTCTAGTGTAACAAAGAGAAGGACTAAAGGTAACACGATGTCTGTCTCTATATACAGAAGGACTAGGGGCGACATGATAGCAGTGTTTCAAGTTTTGATGGGGTGCGACAAAGAAGAGGGGTCCATCTATTTTCCAAAGCACCAGAAGGCAGGACAAGAAACAATGATTGGAAACTAACTGAGAAGAGAAGCAACCTAGAACTAAGGAGAAATTTCCTAACGATGAGAACAATTAACCAGTGGAACAACCTGCCTCCAGAAGTTGTGGGTGCTCCAACACTGGAGGTTTTTAAGAAGAGACTGGACAGCCATTTGTCTGAAGTGGTATAGGGTTTCCTGCCTGAGCAGGGGGCTGGACTAGATGACCTCCAAGGTCCCTTCCAACTTTGTAATTCTGTTATTCTATTCTGAGGGCAAGACAAGAAGCAAAGGTGGGAGGTTGTTAAAGGGAGATTCAACCTAGAACTAAGGAGAAATTTCCTGACAGTGAGAACAATTAGCCAGTGGAACAGCTTGCCTCCAGATGTGGTGGGTGCTCCATGGCTGGATGTTTTCAAAAATAGACTGGACAACCACTTGACTGAGATGGTGTGGTGTTGGAACAAGAGAGAAAATGCTCCATGAAAATCAAGACAGCCAAGGTTGAGGTTGGCTCACTCCTGAATTGGAGATGATGATGACAACAACAACAATAATAATAAAGTTGGAAGAGACTTTGGAGGTCTTCTAGTCCAACCCCCTGCTCAGGCAGAAAACACTATACCATTTCAGACAAATGGCTGTCCCGTCTCTTCTTAAAAACTTCCAGTGTTGGAGCATTCACCGCTTCTGGAGGCAGGTTGTTCCACTGGTTAATTGTCCTCACTGTCAGGAAGTTTCTCCTTAGTTCTAGGTTGCTTCTCTCCTTGTTTGGTTTCCATCTGTTGCTTCTTGTCCTGCCTTCAGGCGCTTTGGAGAATAGCTTGACTCCCTCTTCTTTGGGGCAGCCCCTGAGATACTGGAACTCTGCTATCATGTCCCCACTCGTCCTTCTCTTCGTTAAACTAGACATCCCCAATTCCAGCAGCCTTCCCTTATATGCTTTGGCCTCCAGTCCCCTGATCATCTTTATTGCTCTTCTCTGCCCTCTTTCTAGACTCTCCACATCATCTCAGAGATGAGATGAAGGCAATCACAAAGGGAGATGGTGAAGAACAAGATCATGCAAGGACATGTCTTTGGGGGGAGGTATACTACTAATCTCCCTGGCTTCCAGCTGGAAATCTGAGCAATAATACTAACCTGTTTTCTGAAAGGAACACATCCTCAGGTTTTGCATAAGCAGGAAGAACGAAAGCTGAGATGGACCCAGGATTGTCAAGGAGGACCTCAAGGAAGCCATGCCGGTGCCAGCAGGAGAAACATCTAGAGCTTCTTCATCTCTCACTCCTTTCCAAACACTTCCTTTTCAAAGAGGAAGAAAAGAGGAACCCGCGTTTCCTGCTTCTAATTTTGAACCAATCGCCTTGCTTGGGATAGTTATTCTGTCAGAGGGTGACTAAGGAGAGATTCCGGGATTCTAAATTTATTAATATCCCCAAAGTAAAAGACGGAGACGATGCAAGAAGACGCTAGAATAAACCAGGATGGAGACTTCAGCCGTGATTTCTGTTCTGTCTCACTGATGATGTTACCTAGTTGGGTAATGAAATGTCTGCACAAAAACTGAAGAGAGCTTCCCTAAGGTCCCCACAGTCCAGAATTCTGGGAATTGAAGTCCACACATGTTAGGCAGCAATGGTTCCTTCCAATGACTTCACCACAGCTCTGCAAATTGAATGATAGAATCACAGAATCCTAGGGCTGGAAGGGACCTTGGGGGACATCTTGTCCAACCCCTCGCCCGAGGCGGGAGATCTTATACCACCCTGGCCAAATGGAAGCCCAATCTTTTCTTGAACCTAACCCAACATTTGCTGACTGGGGAATTCTGGGAGTTGAAATCCACCCATCTTAGACTTGCCAAGGTTAAGAAACATTGGGCTACAGAATTCTGGGAGTTGAAGTCCACAGGTCCCCCTTCCATTGTAATATAAAGGATCCCTGCAGGATGTGCTGTAGAACAGGTGCGGATTTGAAGCAGACGGTTCCCATAACAAAGTGAACTTGTTTATATGGACCATGTAAGACATTGGTGGTTTGGCTGGGGA